AATATGATGCTCTGCTGATCTTGATAATAGGAAAACAGTCAGTTTGTTTTGCGGAAAGAATATATGTTACAAGTAAAAATGTTGTTGGAGAAGATACATAATGCTATATTTACTCTAAATTGTAACCATCTCTTTGGTCTTGGGACCATAATCATCAGGAAACTTCCTTTACGAGTGTAACTCGTAGGAGCTTAACAGTTTTTTACTTTGATAATTATTGTTTACAAGCTTCTCTAAGACTGTTGATCAACTATGCAGCTTGTATTGTTAACATGGAGTTATTTTATGGTTGTCCTTCGGGACCCTGGTGTTGTTCCTGCAAACTGGAAAATGTCATCAGAGCAAACAGTAGAAGGAAATTCGATGATATGTTATGATTCTAGAGCACTTGCTGATTCGACAACCATTCCATCCTCTTCGGATGGTACAGAAAGAAGATCAGAAATAGGCTATTGTAGTCGATGCCAAAATAGCAAACCACCACGCTGTCACCATTGCTCTGTCTGTAAGCTTTTCACCTTTATATATTCATTTATTTAGGCTTTGAAAACGCTCATGTAGTTCATTCTCCTTTCTGGTTTCTAATTATCTTCTTTATTGTTGTTTTCTTTGTTGCTCTTAATTGCTAAACACTGATATAATTGTTATTGATGTAGGACAGTCTATGTACAACTAAGACACAAGCTTATTTCTTGTTGTAATAGGATTTTATTTCTTGTTTAAATTTGGACTTCTATTCTTTTAGGTTTTTATTACTTTTTCTTTCAGGTTTTTAATTATTTATCATAAGCTATTAGGATTTGGAGATTATTTTGCCTATATAAACAAAAATTTTGTAATTTTTCCACGACCAATTCTTTACAAATTTTTGAGTTGGATCAACTTTATTCTTGTTTACAATTTTTCTTTCGCACCAAAATTGGTATCGGAGTAAGATTTTTCCCTTGACTGATTGCCACCAATGGTCTAGTAACATGCATCCTCACGACAACGATCGGAGAATTGCAAAATTACCAACCTCGGTCTAATAATTGGAACGAAAGATGGATAAGTACGAAGATGTTGCTTTAATATTTGCAGATTTTTCTATGAATGTTGGTTGCTTCATTGAGTCCAAACAGGGAAACACGTGGCTAAAGATTTTCCTCGTCCAAGCTAGGTTAGAATCCTCACAAGTAATGTAGAAATTTTGGAGAATTTTCTTCGTGATTGATTAATATTCTCTTCTTCAACCCAACTCGAAAATGATTTTAAGTAGGGGAGATTGATGTAGAACAATTCTTTTACAAATAAGACAAAATTATTTGTAACATATCATGAGATAAAATTATTTGATAAGGGGAGATTGACAAAATTATTTGATATAACATATCATGAGATGAACTTATAAATATGTCCCTATGAAAGCAGTCAAAATCTTGGAGCATTATCAAGCTCTCTGCTGCTCCTACATCGTAAAGATGATGAGTTGATGATTATCTGCTAACACTGTAAGCGTGTCTTTTTTTCAGGCCAACGATGTGTTCTTAAGATGGATCACCACTGCATATGGGTTGTGAATTGTGTTGGGGCTTGCAACTACAAGTTCTTTCTTCTTTTTGTGGTGAGAATAGTATTATTGCCGATTTTCAATTATGTATAATCTTTGTACGTGGATATGAAACTTCTAACAAGGAAGCTTTTTAGCGATGCTTGCCTTGTCATTTCATTTGTTTCCGTCAGTTTATTCAGCAAATACATAGAATAACTAATTTATTCATTCAATTTTTTCATACAAATTTCCATTAATTTTCTGCATTAATATGAGTTCTAACAGATTCATTTCACTTCAACATAAGGAGAAAAGTAGCATTTCTATTATTGGCTCTGATCTTTAGGTTGAGAAATGTATTTAATGCTTTCTATTATATCTATTGGAGGCTCTATAAAAAGTCTAGAAAACCTTGGGAATGGTTATTTGAATCCTTTGAATTTCATTACAGTGACATCTTGCTTCATTATGTGAATTCTATATAAAGAAACACATTTCTTGGAAATTTATTAAAAGATGAAGTGTTTTGGTTCTGATTCCCACCAATATTCGTTTGCTTTTTAGAATTTACAATGTTAGATAGTCCAGATGAACCTTGCACATCTGAATTAAATTTTAATTGAAGTTTTTTTCTCTTCCAAAAATGCATTAAAGGTTGTGTACTGTTGAGCATCAGATGGTCAAAGATAATTTTACCATTATTTACATTTATTTTAATACCTCTGAAAATTCCTTCCAAGTTTTACTCTATCTGCTTTTCCACATATATATGAGCATTTGTAAGTTATATCAAACTGAGCCATTGCCATTTCACATCATATAGACTTTGCTTTGCTTTAGTTGCATTAGTCATTATATCAATTGTTCTCTCAAGGTTGCTTTAGTAAAAACTTCACATGACCATGATAACTTCTTTCTGTTTCTTTTCTATATATATGAATTGACTATTAAAATGTTCTTTTAGCTTTATACTTTTCTGGAGACAACGATGGATACTCTTGTGCTGCTACCCAATTTCATAAATTTTTTTAAGCATGCCAGTCATCGTTTCACTTCACCTGGCCAACTTGCTGTCACTTTCCTAGCCTTTGGTAATTTCTCCTCCTTTGCATCAATGATCTTCATATCCATATGCTGTAGTTACATCCTCATCATTTTGTGTTTCTTACAGATTCTGTAACTTGATGCAGTTCTGAATTTAGCTTTTGCGCTGAGTCTTCTCTGTTTCGTAATTATGCATGCATCTCTTCTTTTGAGCAACACAACTTCAGTAGAGGTAAACCCACATTAAAATAGCATTGTTTATCTATTTGATGAATATAATTCTTAAATCTATGATGCAGCATGTAGCCCTCCAAGTTGCACTGGTGTTCTTGATGTATGGTCTTTCTGTGTCTGATATTTCAGGTTTATGAGAAAAAAAGAGCTGTTCGGTGGAAGTACGACTTAGGATGGAAAACAAACTTTGAGCAGGTAAAAAATATTGAAACTCTTTCAATGCTGATATCAAACTCAACAGAAGTGTATAGTTACTGAAAAGGTTAAATTTGAGAAATAGCAAAAAGGAAAATCTCTTTAATGGTGTCAAAAGAAATAGCTAAGAACACATTGAAGCTTTTTAATGTTATTAAGCCCTTGTTTGAGCCCCATTTTGGGGAAAAATGTATTTTTGAATAGTGATTTTTTTGGAGAATGTGTGGTTAAAAAGTAAGGAAAAGTTTTCGATGTAGGTGTAAAATTATTTTATTAAAAAATGTGTAGTTGAAAATGAATTTTGAAAAATGATTTTTTGGAAAAATGGGGCTCAAACAAGAGCTAAGTTGAAAATAATGCAGAAATGGAACATATCAATAGGATTTGTATCCTGATTTCATGAATAATTCCCTTATAAAATAGATATTCAATTACTACGTGAAGATCTAACTAACTGTTATCTTGTATTTGGCCCAAACCATGGCACAGCCCGGGTAAAGTTTTGCATGGTTTCTAAATGGATAAAAGTGAGCTTTAATTTCAGAAGTTGAGCCCAGTCTAAAATTATCAAACAAAGCTCTAGGGGCAGTGGGTGCGTCCCAGTGATTTGAGCCGGATCCATTTTTGTTGTGCATGGACTCGATCTGATGCACTTAGGAGAAGGTTGTAGTAATAGTTTCTTTATGAGTGATTTTCTCATTGTAATAAAGGGAATTATGTCCTGTGAAAGAATTTGGACAAGACAGTATGAAAAATTGTAATCTCTTCTTAAATGATTCATTGTCTTTTGGCCATTGATGTAATGAACCACATAAATGGCAAGTTCTTGTCTTCTTTTTCTTCATATGTTTATATCTTTTCTCATTTGCATAGTTCGTTGCAAATGTACTTCTGAGAAGTTATCTGCGTTTCAGTTCCTTTCGATCTGGATGCTTATCAGAATTTTAGTTATAGTCAGTTAGGTTATAGATTCCCTATTCTGTTGAAACCTTTCTGCACTTCTGATTTATTCTTTTTCTTTATTCAGGTTTTCGGCACTAGAAAGTTATTTTGGTTCTTCCCACTGTTTGCAAAGGAAGATTTGGAGAAAATGCCTGCACTACATGGCCTAGATTTTCCTACACGCTCAGATATTGAAGCATGAGGAATGTTGGTCACCTTTTGGTTTCATTCTGAAGTATATCTGTTATTTCCTTTAGTGGATATGTAGCATTAATTTTCACAGTGGCTTGTTTTCTAATTCGTTTGTGTACATTTTAAAATTGATAAGATTTTTGTTCTTGGATATTTGTCCTTGTAAGTTGTAACATGTATAGAGTTGAAGCATTTACAAGAAACACATTTATGTACAAGGATATATCTCATCGTGAACTGAGAAATGTTGGTACTGTCAGTTTGTAATTGATCCCATAAATTCTATAAAAATGCCATCTTTTGATTGTTGTTGTTTATGAATATACACACGATAGAAACAATTTGCCCTTTATCTTAAAGGTAGCTTTCAAATCATTTATGGTATACATGGTGTACAGATTATCGAATCTGATGCATTCGATATTTCTTCCCCGACCTGCCTGCATCTTGTGATAGCAGCCTTGTGCCGTCTCTTTGTGTAAAATAGAAGCCCCCTGAAATAAATGATACATAGATTGAAGGCACCTGTATATGAATTATATTATAGTTCTATTTGAGTAGTTTACAGACACTAAAATACATGCTTACTGGTGAAGGTGACATTTTGGTCTTGCATATCTTCTCCTTAACATCATTGCATTCCACTTTTGATTTTGTAGATCTGCTAGTTTACTCATTTTAAATCATGCTTATGTTATTCAAGTTGACATATAATATTATCGGTATCATTTACAATTATTTTGGTCCCACAATAAAGCAGAAAGTTAAGAGCTGATACACATGCAGTGAATGGTTGTACCACTGCTCCTCCCCGGGAGAAGCCTACTGGAAAGAAATGCTGCCTGAATAAAGAATCGCTTGATCATCTCTCGGGATCGTGAAATGGCTTCTCCGGTGAACTATCCAGGGAGTTTGGGCAGGAGTTGCAAATATCTGATATAAAGACTGATAACCAAACTATGAGTGGTGTAACAAACAGAACGAGACCAATAGGCACCATCCACTGCTGATCATTTGTAGGATGATAATAAAACTCCCACCAAGCCAATATGAGCCCACCCACCATGCTTAATGAAAATGATCCCAAGCAGACTATCCATATCTTCACAATTCTCTGAACGCTTCTGTAACTCTCTTCTTTTGTGTCTTCATATGATGCCATCAAATGCCTAATGTCGAAATCCTTATTGGGTTTTCCTCGAGCAGCAAAGTTTTGACAGGACGACGACGTCGACGAGAGATTAGACAAGTTAGACAACTGAAACATACTTCAGCTAAAACAGAAATGTTGAAGGCTTTTATATATAGATAGATGTACCTTGAATTAGGTAGGCTAATCCCATTGAGCCTCCATCAGACGTGCCTTTTGATTAAAGTTGTTGCCAGTAAAAAACAACATCATGTATAAAGAAAGAAATGATTGCGTCTTGGTTTTTGTATACAACTAGTGATTCATTTTGTTTAGTAAATATACCAATCAAATTTTCATTTGACAAGTAGCTTGTTTGTTACTTAAGAAGTTGGTAGGCATTATTTGGAGGAATATATCATAAACAAAGTGTGTGTATGAGAAAATTGAAAGTTATGTGTAACCAAGTTACTAGAGGAATTTACGTAGAATAAATCACTTGGCTAAGAATAAATTGAATTAAGAGGTAATATTTCACTCATGTAGTACAGGGTGCCTTACATATGTTGGTTTAAAAAATCGAGCCAAACATGTGTGGAACTTGTTTGGTTGTTGAAAAATACGAGAAAAAGACGCAAGTTGGAAAAAAAAATTGGCCATGAAATAGCAGGATAACTTTCAGTTCCATATTTAAGTCTGTTTTTAGGAAGCTAAAAGGCTAGAAAAAAGTAAGAGTTCCGTGTCATTCATTTCACACTATGTAGTTCATGCAATATCAATTTTCTACTGCAATATATTATACAACGAAAATGCATAGCAACTTTTGTAAAGTAATCTTGAAAACAATTGTTTATCAAATTCACGATCTCTTCTTAAAATAATTTCACACCTTAAATGTCGAATATCTTCGAGCAATTGCCTGATTTAGTGCAGTCATCTCAAAGGAACCAATCGTATTAATTTTCTGATTTGTAAACGGAAATAAATAAACACATGATTTTAGGAGAGAAATTTTAAGAATAAGAGGGAGGGGCTAAATCTTATCTTGCACATTTTTTACCTCGATGTCAGTGGGGTCGAGCTAAACATTTGGAGATATACAAAGCGACTACACAACAGCACAAGACCAATCAAAGTAAAAAAAAAAAAAAAACAAAGGTTTCATGTGCCCCGGGCACATCCAAGATGGCAAAGACAGTGCAAGGCTTGGCTTGCAACCTCAGTGTGGAGAGTTCGAATCACGGATAGAGCAGCCAAGTGTTGTAATACC